TGAGAGTGCTTAGTGTTGGTAATCTGCCTTGTTAGCGAGATTAGCCGGTTGTTAATAACTCTGTTCTTCTCTGCTTGATCTCTTAATTATTCCGTTTTTTGATTAATGAGGATTAATCGAGTATTTATAGCCTTGGGAAGCGTGCAACTCTCTAGGTTTTAAGGTAAACCTAGGGCTGACCGGGCCTCTAGACTGGACTGGGCCTTGATGGCCGGTTTTCCCATTTGGCATGGGCGGACACGTGGCGTGTCTTAAGTGGTCCGTGGAGGACGTATCTGTGATTGACACGTGGCAGGTTCCTGTTGGCCTTCGTGAAGAACACGTGTCGGAACCTGGTTGGTCCACTTGTCAGACGGTGATTGGTGGATAAAAATCCCCTAATCAGGTTTCTTCGTCCATAGCTTGTATGAAGTCTTTTCTATGGCTTTTGATGGAGCACAGTTCAGTGTTAGTGTCGCGGTTAGAAGAACATGTCCCCAGAAAGAGATAGGAAGGTCACTAAGACCCATTGTTGATCATACCATGTCAAGCAAGGTTCGATTTCTCTTTTCAGATACTCTGTTCAATTGTGTCAATTCTGAAGGTATACCCTTTTCTTTCAAATGATCATCGAATTCTTGGCTCAAGTATTCACCACCTAGATCCGATCGTAGGGCTTTGAATTTCTTGCCAAGTGGATTTTCAATTTGTGGGACATAAGGTAGACATATCCATATCTACTATAGTCGTCTGTGAAGGTGATAAATTATTGATGGTCGTTTCTTGTGGTTGTGCTTATTGGTCCACATAAATCGGTGTGTATTAGGCCCAACAAGTCACCTGCTCTTTTTCCCAACTTGAAGAATGGATACTTTATCATCTTGCCTAATTAACATCATCGCAATTCTTAAATGATTGTAAATCGAACAAGTCAAGAACACATTCCTGTACAAGTTTCTTGATGCGTTTGATGTTAATGTGGCCAAGACGACAACGCCACAAGTACGTCTCATTTGACTCAATGGTCTTACCTTTCTTGGTGGTATTATTCACATTATAAAATTGTTTGTCTAACAAAATCACATAAAGATCATTTTCACAATGTGCAATACCATATAAAACATTATAGAGATAAAACAAACATTCATTGTCCTTTACTCGAAACTCAAAAACTTTGGCATCCAACGCCGAAATTTAAATAATCTTTTTTGTAACGTTATGAACATAATAACAATTTTCAAGTTCTAAAACTAGCCTCGAGGGCAAACACAAACTTAGAGTTCCCACGGTTACGACCGCAATTCTGGCTCCATTGCCGACCCGGAGTTCAACCTCTCCCTTTTTTAGCCTTCTAGTGTTCCTTAGTCCCTAAGAATTGGAACAAAGGTGTGAATTACTATCTGGTATCTAATACCCATGATGCTGAGCTAGTGAATTTTAAGTATATAACGAATATACCTGATCCAGAAGAAATGGTTCCGTTCTTCTTATCTTCCTTGAATTTGAGGAAATCTCTCTTCCAATGCCCCTTCTTGTTGCAATAAAAGCATCCAAAATCAGATTTAGAAGATGCTACCTTCTTATCCTTGTTATCTTTGGTAGTTTTTTGCTTAGGCGGAAAGGTCTTCTTACCCTTCCCTAGCCTTAAAGTCTTTCTTCTTCTTTCCTATGTGATGAGTGTCATTTATGGCGCTCAATAGAGTAGTTTTAGATAACTTTTTCTAAATTTGCTCGTTTTATTTTCTAATGATATTTCTAGTTTTCTCCTATTTTCCGTCTTTATAGCTCATTGTGGTTTTTCGTTTACTTTTATGAGTTTTTCCATGATTTTTGTTCTTAATTAGCTATTTTAGTTTAATTTCTATTCTTTTTGCTTTCTCTCTTATTTTTACTTGATTTCTTGCAAATGATGTTTTCAAATCTTGTTTGCCGCTCCCTTACGGATGTGTTCTCATTGGTTTTAGGTCCGGAGTGTGCAAATATTTGAAGATTAGAAGGCTGACCTCCTCGCGGGCATCTCCTCGATAGCATCAATGATGAGGATGCATGAGAGCGCAAGAATCAACGAGCGAGCATGGGAAGCCAAGCCACGAGCACCACAACAAGGGTGTGCGTGCGCGCAGACCCCTCTGTGCGTGCGCACAGACCCTGCTGTCCGCGTGCACAGTGGCCTAGTGTGTGCGCACGGGGTGCTTAGCCTCCCTTTACTCAATTTGTTATAAATAACATTGACTTTTCCTTTTTTTAGGGGTAGACGATTTTATAGGTACTGGAGACTTATTTCTAGAAATAAAAGACAGAGAAAGTAGAGAGAGAAACTTGAGATTACTTGTTTTTTTAACTCAATTTCATCTTTGATTTCAACTTTGAGCTTGGATTCCATCTTAAATCAATGAAAGTTTGTGAGATTTTTTTCCTTTGAAGTTACTTTTTCTTGATATTTCCTTTAATTCTTGAATTTTTTATTTGAATTTGGATCTTTGGTTGAGAATTTGTTGAATGTTTGATTTTCTCTTTGATTAAGCTTGAAATGATGATGTTTGTGATTCAATTTGTATTGTTTTTTGAATTCCATCAAGATTAGTGAGTAGATTAGTAGCTATGGAGGGGGAATCGTGCTTGATTGATGATTATTGCTAGTTGATGATTCTTGGTTGATTGAATTGTTGCAATTAAATTGGTTGAAATAGTTATGCACGTGATTAATTAGACCAGGAGTGATCAACCTATAAGATTAATCTATATTACACAACAAATTTCAATGACATGAACCCTTGATTAGAGAATTGATTTATTTGATTGTGATTTTCCTTGTTAGCCATTCTTAGTGAACGCTAGCTTAGCTTATATGAGATAGCTTTTGGATTCTATTAGTTGCAACTATTGTTTTTCCTTTGCAATGTTTGAATCAATCGAATCATCCATTGATTAGCATAATCATTGAGCTTGCATGTGGAACCTTTATCCCTAGTGTTTAGCTTATTGATTTGTTTAGTCTTTCGATACCTTAGTTAAAATTCAATTCTTTTTAAAATCTTCGAAGTAGCTTGACCTAGGCTATAGCGTTCTCCTACTCATTCTTTTGGGTTCGACCCTTGACCCTTGACCCTTGAATAAAAATTTGTATGGCTCTAGGGGAGATTAGAAAACGACCTACATTTTCCCTACATCAAAATGGCATTGTTGTCGGGGAGTGATATTGGTGCTTTGTTATAGTTGTTGAATCTACTTCATATTAATTTGAAAATACAAAAAGATTTTCTCTTTTTGGCTACATTTGAATCTGTGCTACTAATTGTTACTTTTGGGATTGTATGCATAGAGCAAGGGGTCGTTCACTAGTGCCACTTGATATGGAGATTGAGATAACAATTGCAAGGACAAGAGTTTCTAGACGATCTTTGAGTTCTATCTCTTCAAGTGAAGAAGAACAACAACAAGAAGAACAAGCAAGGATTGGAGAAATTCTAAGGGTGGCATTGAAGGAATTGGGGATTCCCGGTGTATATAGGTTTGAAAGTGGGATTGCTCCACCTACAACGCCGACAAATTACTTTGAAATAAGGCCGGCAATGATCACTTTGATAGAGAGGCGATAATTTAGTGGAGCCAAGCAGGAAAGCCCACTAAACCATCTCAAAGAGTTCGAAAAGTATTGCAACACTTCCAAAGTGAACGGGATTTCCCAAGAATTCATCGCTTCAAGCTTTTTCCCTTTTCCTTCATAGGGCAAGCTTTGAAATGCCTAGACAAGGAGGTCAAGCCAAATTCTCTAAGGACATGAGACGAAGTGACCAAGGAATTTTTATCCCGTTTCCATTCACAAAAGAAAATAGCGGAGGCAAGAGCTTTGATTCAATGTTTCAAGCAAAAGTCTAGTGAAAGCCTCTATGAAGAATGGGAGAGATACAAAGAGTACCAAAGAGAATGTCCTCACCATGGAATTCCTACTTACCAAATTATTCAAATCTTCTATGGTGGCCTAAGTCCTCAGGAAAGTCATGTTCAGATGGAAAAGCCGGAGGTCTCATTATGAATAAAACGGAGGAGGAAGTGGTAGACATAATTGAAGACGTAGTGAGGTACTATAGAGATTGGAAAAAGGGAGTCAACTAGCAAGAGTAGATCTTTGTTGTGCTTGGCTGATCATCTAAATACAATCAGTAATTTATCCTCACAAATGACAAACTTGGGGAAGGAAATGTCCACTATCAAGGCAAAGTTGGAAAGTGCTACCTCCCAAGTTTTAATTATTCCCTCCCAATATAAGGGGAGAGGGATGTCTTCTAATTATAAACCCTATCCCTCTTCTAGTAAGATGCCTAGTGGATGCTTGTTTTGTTATGTTTGTGGATCGTATGATCATGATGCTTCTAATTGCCCTGATGCATGTATCGATGTTTGTGATGATCAAGATGGAAATGTTTATGAGCATGTGAATTATGTGTCAAACAATAATGATTAATTCTAGGTTTGAGAATTAAAGAGGTCAATGGAATAGGAATTACAACATCTATGGGAATTTTGATAACTACAACCAAGGTGGTGGTAATAAGAACCAAGGGAACCGAAATTCACGAGGTAACTATAACAACCAAGTTTATAGTAGACAAAATCAAAACCAAAATTATTGTAATCATAACCAAGGTTATGGTCAAATTTAAGGAAGAGGTAATTAGAACAATCAAAATAGGGAAAATTTTCAAAATAATGCTCAAAGGGGTCCCCCACCCGGATTTGCTCCAAAGACCCAAAATGACAATTCCTATGTTCAATCCTCTTCTTCTTCTTCTTCTTCTTCTTCTTCTTCTTCTTCTTCTTCTTCTTCTTCTTCTTCTTCTTCTTCTTCTTCTTCTTCTTCTTCTTCTTCTTCTTCTTCTTCTTCTTCTTCTTCTTCTTCTTCTTCTTCTTCTTCTTCTTCTTCTTCTTCTTCTTCTTCTTCTTCTTCTTCTTCTTCTTCTTCTTCAAGTTACAACTTGGAAGAAATCATTGAAAACAAAACCAAGTTGGTGAACACTTATATGGCGGTGAGTGACAAGAAGTTTAATGAAATGATGATCCACAATAAGATGCTTGAAAACCAAAACTCTCAACTTGCCAAGGCTTTGAAATACCATGCAAGACCTTCTTCTTTACATTATCAAGGCCTAGACCCTAAGATACCCGTTAATGCCATAGTAACAAGGAATGGTAAGGTGTTTGAGGAGAGTTTGCCTAGTAAGAGCAAGAGTGATAAGGGTGCCAATGAGGTTTTAGTTGAGGATGAGGGAGATGGTACATCTTTGAGTGAAGTGATGTTAGAGCCACCCAAGAGGTGAAGGAAGAGAGAGAAGTTGTGAAACCTAAGCTTCCCTATCCACAAAGATTCATGAGACACAAGTTAGATGAACAATTTGGAAGATTTATTAACATGCTCAAGCAACTTAACCTTTCTCTACTATGTACCGATTTTGTCACCCAAATGCCTAACTATGCAAAATTTCTCAAAGACATTTTGTGCAGTAGGAGGACTTGTGATGCTGTGGATACGGTGAACTTGACCGAGAATTATAGTGCAATCATAATGAACAAGATGCCTACTAAGCTAAAAGATCTCGGAAACTTTTCCATCCCTTATGCCATTTACAAAATGCAAATCGACAATGCCTTTTTTGACCTAGGAGATAGTGTTAGCCTTACCCCATATACGGTGTATCAAAGATTTGAACTAGGGGAACTCTTACCTACTAACATCACCTTGCAATTGGCCGATAGGTCAATCAAGTTTCCTAAGGGTAAGGTGGAGGATGTCCCTTTGAGGGTTGGGAAATTTGTTATTCTAGTGGATTTTGTGGTGCTTGAGATGGACGAAGATGCTAACATTCCTATTATTCTAGGAAGACCCTTTCTTGCTACTTTGGGTGCTATGACAAGAGTTCTAAAATTTCACATAAAGTAGGAGATGAAGTGATAGAATTTGACTTGAATGATAGTATGAAGTATTCGAGTTCCTCTTTGGAGAATTGTATGATGATTTACTATCTTGATCATGTTGTGTCTTCCATGCTTGAGAAATTGTTCACCTCTAACGATGCTCTTGAGAATGTTTTGTTGAATAAGGAAAATATAGGTGCTCCTAGCAAGGAGATGGATTTGTATGAAGATGTGCTCAATGGAAGCCTATAGGATGTTGATGAGCAAATGTGCATGAACATTATTAGCCAAGATGCATTGCATGTTGCTACATCAAAAGAAGGTAAAGGTTTCCCCATGGTTTAGCTCAAATCTCTTCTATCACACCTTAGGTATGAATTCATCTATATCATGTCACATGATGTAATTATCCTTAGCCTCCTAGCCTAAGAACATGCATCATGCATACATTATCTTCAAGAAAAGCAATTCAATCTCTGCGATTCATTTCGTCTTGCTTAATGAGGAAGTTAAAAAATTCTTCCCTTTTTCATGTCTTTTCTTTAAGGGAAGTTCAAAAACTTATTCAAAATTTTCTCATCAAGGAAGATCGAAAATAAAAGATCAATTTTCATGTCTTTCTTTTTGGGGAGAAAATCATGATAAAAATGACGAAATTTTTTTACTTTTGCATTTTTGGTTGCTTGTGTTTGTACACACACACCATATACACAAACAACCACAAGTTATACACATGTCATGTCATGAAAAGTCAAGCTTGGTCATGTTAGTTGGTTAAGCCAATCATAGTCTATAATAGCCGCTTGGCAAATTTTATTTTACAGGTCTCTATTACAGCCCACATTCGGGGACAAACGAACCATCTATAGCCCACGTTCGGCAACAAGCGAACCATCTATAGCCCACGTTTGGGGACAAGCAAACAACTTACAGCCCACGTTCGAGGAAAAGCAAACCAATTACAGCCCAGGTTTGGGGATAAGCATACCATTTACAGCCCACGTTCGGGGACAAGCAAACTATCTACAGCCCATGTTCGTGGACAAGCGAACAAACTACAGCCCATGTTTGGGGACAAGCGAACCATCTACATCCCACGTTCGGGGATAAGCGAACCAATTACAACCTACGTTTGGGGACAAGCAAACCAAGTACAGCCTACGTCCGGGGACAAGCAAACCATCTACAGCCCACGTTCGGGGACAAGCGAACCATCTACAGCCCACGTTCGGTGACAAGAGAACCATTTACATCCCACTTTTGGGGACAAGCGAACCATTTACAGCCCACGTTCGGGGACAAGCAAACCATCTACATCCCACGTTCGGGGATATGAGAACCATCATCATTTTAGTGATCATCTCCCAAGCGAAGATGATTCACGGCGCAAGGTTCTCGATACATAGAGACTTGCAATCTCATCATTAGACAAGGTTTTCCTCAAGCATTTAAAATTGACGGTCGTTGCCAGCTCTCAAGGCGAAGAAGTCAACAATGATATCATCTATCCACTTTCCTCAAGCATGGAAAGTATCATTCGATGGATTTCTTCAAGCATAGAAAACTGTCAAATTCATCTGTCGACTTTCCTCAAGCATGGAAAGTATATTAACAAACATCATCCGGTGGATTTCTTCAAGCATAGAAAACTACCAATTTCATCTATTGACTCTCCTCAAGCATGGAAAGTATCTCGACAAACATCATCCGGTAGATTTCTCCAGGCATAGAAAGCTACCAAACTCATTTTTCACCGATAAACTGGTGTCAAATAATACAAAATTTTTTGCCACCGATACACTGGTGTCAGATATGCATTCTATCTCTTTACTCTTTTATGTGTGGAGCAAACATTTTTCTGCAGGTATCGGTTTATACAGAGTAATTTATGATCGCAGAATGTCTTAAATCATTCTCTTTCCCTATCGATTACTTTGACTATTGTTTTTAAAACTAACGTTTCTACAAAATCAGTCAAAGTGGGGGCTTCTATAGAAACCTAAAAATGTCTCCCTAAAACCAAACCCGATGATGAACAACCTTTCACCGCCATTATTGGTCGAGTTGAGGATTTAAACTTGGAGTGCTTAAATCCATATTCAATTCCAATACATTTCATAAACCAACCCAATTCATAGCCCATATCCCAAAACCATTACTTATTTTTCTATTTTTGTGCCTTCAAACCCAAAATAATTCATTTCGTGTCCCTAAAAATCATTCATTTCGTGTCCTACTTATAAAAACGTTTATAATAGTTTATTTTGGTCCATAATCTGGGTCCAATTATTGAATAGTTGGATGGGGATTGAAAAGATATTTCCAATGATATATTATAAGCCCAAATCCAAGTTATAACGAACCTAAGCCCACCTTACCTACTACCCAATGATCATATGGAGGGTGCAAAAGCTTTAATCCCATTCATAAACCAATTAGGATTAATTGGAATCCTCTATAAGTTTATAAAAGATCTTAATTATACTTTTTGAAAAGATAAGATTAAAAGTTTTAAATTGAATAAAACTTTTATTTTTGAAAGTCCTAATCCCGTTCGAATTGAAAGACGTTCAAAGATAGTCAGATATTATTTTCGTGCCTCATAGTTTTTATCAAAATCTTAGATTTTTGGATAGCCCTTGAAAGTATCTTTCCAATGATAAATTATTATATCAATTCCGAGCTATAACGGAAAAGAAATGAATGAAATACAAAACTCTATAAAAAATTGACACCGTCCCACTTTTTCGGCCATATCTTTTATTCTAAAAAAGATTTTAATCTGATTGTAATTGGGTAAGAAATAAGACTTCAACAGATTTCCAAAGACATATTATTTATCTTATTGTAATTTCTGGATCAAAAGATGTGATAAAAACAATAATTGTATTTAATTTAATTTTAATTATTGTTTTATTTATTTCCTTGAAGTTACTAACTCGTTTATTGTTTTATAGTTGCAAGCAAGCAAAATAAAAGTAAGGAATCATGTTCCTTTTATTTCTATTATTTTTCTAATGATTTTATATCATTAAATTTATTGTTAAATTGCTTTCAATATTAATGTTAGTTCTATTATATATTTATTAATCACCATATTGCATGTTTAAAGGGAATATGTAATTGAAAATCACGCCTAATAAGATAATTTGGACGACCAGTTTAGGTTCCTTTTTAATCTTGTTGTTTAATCAAGTGATCACGATATTTTGGAATTATGTGTTGCATTAATATTAAACTAATTTAGCATAATAATAGTTTGGAGAAAATTGAATATTTTGTGTTGCATGCCTTTGAGATTGCAGGAATCACTTTTCACTTTAAGAATTGAGTAGAGGCCAATACGGGAAAATGTGACTCCAAGACTCACTTCGTACCATCATCCCCTATCCTCCTTTCGTGGTTCTGAACCATATGGAGTTAGTTATCTCATGGATTATGAATGGGGTGTAACCTTCACGGGTCAATCATTGTTGCCTATTGTTGTCCCTTATCGTGGTTGCCTTTTATGATTCGTGAACGATTTACAAGTTCCTTAAAAACTTGTTGGCGGCTCCCTACTTTATTTATCCCTAATCGTATACGTCAATTCCCATTTTCTATGAGTGCCAAGCATATTCACAACATTCTTAACGTAGGAGCACTTTGAACGACTCCTACAATTTGACGACTCCACTGGGGAGGATTCTTGGTTATTTATCGATTTGAGTGATCGGTATTGAATTGAGATGAGTGGATGAGACTTGAAAGATTCTCGTGTTGTATTCCTGCGATTTAGTTGGAATTGTTACATATGTATATGCATTATAGCTTACCTATTTTGACACAATAGTAAGTGTTCTACGTATGTGGCTAGCCCGGGGTATTTATGCTCTATCAACCTGAAAACGCTCATGGAAATAAGGGTTTATTCGAGTTTTTAAATCCACCCAAACCATGGAGTTGAGTTCGGTTTCATTACAAACTCGCAAAGCCTCCCGTTGGCATACACCTTTAAGGGATGCTGCCTTGCTAACGCGTCCAAATTCTTAACCATGGTACCCTTTGACACCCAAAAGCTTGACCATAGTGGAACATAGAACTTGACTTTAGGTTGTGAAATTCATTGCATCATGCGTGACAAAGTGTTTCTATGTGCATTTTTATTGACTTTTTATTTTTATGTTATTTTTTCTCTTATCAAATCCTTTTTTTTATTTAAGCCAAGTCATAGTTTTTTTTAATTTTTTTACTTTTGAGTCAACCCGGATTTTTATTCCTATATACTGCATAAGAGTTGTTTAGGTTATAGCCGGAGTTCTAGAAAGAGCAACATGTCGTGGAACATATGAATCTGTAGCCCCGAGTTTTATCTTTCAGTTGGAGTTGATTGTGTCCCAATCATAGTCGCAGATTAGAAGTTATAACTGATATACTACAGCCTTTATAATTTAGTTGTCTTTTTAGCGTCAACTTTTAAATTTTTTTTTTTTAATTTTTTCGTGTCAAGCTAGTCTTAGCCAAGTCTTTTAGTCCATGTCAAATCAAATAAAATAGGATTATAGATTTTTCTTTTTATTTATTTATTTTTTTATACCAATGAGTCCTAACTATTCTAGAATTCTAGTCCTCTTCCTAGTTTCTTGTGATCGATTTTTGTGCTAACCTTAACATGTGTTCTTTGTCTTTGAATGTGGTTGATCTTATTTATGACTAACGATTGCCAATGGACCGTTTCACCTAGTAATATCATAGACATTAAAATTGGACAAAATTAATCAAGTTAGTTTGTCTTTTAGTCTTCAATGTTATATGGTCATTGGGTCCTTTGTCTTTCACAACGTCCTCATGTCTAGCCTTGCGATCATACCACGAATCTTAAAAAATCACCTAATCACACATATTGAGTCATTGCACACACTTTATCTCCTAGTCACGAACCATATTGTTTATGATTGTATATTAGGATCTTGTATGCGTCGTTTTCCGTCGTAATAGGAATGAGTGGAGTATTTCCCATCAGTTTTCAAAATTGGTTCATACACT